CCCAGTATCTCCCATCCCTGCCACCTCCCAAAATCAGGCAGGCTAGGGATGTAGCTCAGTGTTAGAGCCGTGCTCAACTGTTTGGAGAGAAAGGAAGGAAACAAATGTGAGTGGCTGTGGGTGGGTGGGGGAGTAGAGGTTTGCTGGAGTTTGATCCCCAGCACTGGAATTAAAAAAAATTAAAAAAAAAAAAAAAAAAAGAAAAGAGAAAGAAAATGCCTGCTAACATGAAACCCTAATTGGAAAGAAGACAAAATTAATAAATTCCTTGAGACAGAAATGTGCCTATTTTTACAAACTTATATTTGTAATGAAATTGAATTAAGGAGAAAGGCTAATTTGTTTTACATTGACAGTTGTTTTATTTATTTATAGAAAATACCTATAGCAGAGAGAGAAGAATGTATTGCCATAATATAAAATGTAAATTTTATGACATTTTGAATGAATACTCATGTCCTATGTCCTAGTGAAAGAAAATTTTTGACACAAACATCTACAAAATGCTGCAAAAATGGGTTACACTAGTGGACTTTTCTCTAAACATAAGAATCCTTTTCTATAAGACACCTAGAGTCAAAGTCTAGGGTAAAAGTAACACACAGAGCTGGAGTTGTGGCTCAGCGGTAGAGTGCTTGCCTAGCACGTGCGGGGCTCTGGGTTCCATCCTCAGCACCATGTAAAAAGAAATAAAATAAAGGTATTGTGTTTAATTACAATTAAAAAATAAATATTTAAATAAATAAATAAAAATAAAGATAATATGTCCATCTACAACTAAAAAAAAAAAGTAACACCGTCACCAAATAACACATGGATTTGTTTTCTTTGGCAGTCCTGGGAATTAAGCCCAGAGCCTTCTACTTACAAAGCAATCACTCCTGCACTGAGCCACATCCCCAGTCCTCCTCTCCAGCTTTCTTGTTCAACTGCTGTCACCTTACCCATTTTTGGACCTCCCTGAGAGCCTAATTCACCAACCTCTTCCCTTCTCAAATCATCAGACTTCTTCTTTCTGGCAAACTCCCAGTCTTGGATCAGTCCCTCTCCTCACATTCTCAGTCAGAGCACAACTGAAGAAAATCAGACCACATGGCAGATTGGGACCCCCTTGAGTTCTTAATCCTCAAACATAACACCAATTTATGACTTAGGTCCACGCTACTTATGAACTTCAGATACATATACTCCCTACCCAACAAGTATTTTCTTGAGTGTTTACTATTCGCCACAAACTGTTCAAGCACTGAGACAGAGTGGTAAACAAACTAAACAAAAATTCTCACTTTATAGACATTATTTTCCTATGTTCATATATGACCAATGTAATTGGTCATATTTACATGATCAATGTAATTCCACATGATGTACAACCAGAATGGGAAGATGTACACACACACACACACTCTCTCTCTCTCTCTTGCTCTCTCTCTATATATAAATAAAATTAATCTCATATAAAATTCATTTTATAATTTATGTATAAAATATGTCAAAGTACAGTCTACTTTCATGTGTAACTAAAAAGAACAAATAAAAAAGTTTTTTAAAAATCCTGATTTTAGCGCGACTCAGTGGCCCATGCCTGTGGTCCCAGCTACTCCGGAGGCTGAGGCAAGATGAAAACTTAAGACCAGGAGTTCAAGGTCAGCCTCAGCAACATGGGACAAGAAAGTCTCAAAACAAAAAAAGGAAAAGAAAATTTTAAAAAAGTAAATACACATGCTAAATTTTAAGAAGCAGAAGGCAAGTAAAAAAACTGGGACTGGCAAGAATACAGCTCAGTGTGAGGCCCTGGGTTTCATCTGCAGCTCAAATAAAGAAAAGAAAGAGAGGAAAGAAAACTGGGACATACAACTTTTGGAGAGATCAGAAATGGAGGTAGGGCTGGGGATGTGGCTCAAGTGGTAGAGCGCTCGCCTGGCATGTATGCGGCCTGGGTTCGATCCTCAGCACCACATACAAACAAAGATGCTGTGTCCATCGAAAACTAAAAAATAAATATTAAAATTCTCTCTCTCTCTCTCTCTCTTAAAAAAAAGAAATAGAGATAACAGAGTCAATTACATTTAGATGATCTGAATAGATAAGGTACCACTTGAAGAAGAACTGAAGAAGAAAGAATGGTGGGAAATGTAAAAATGGTCAGAAAATACAAGAGTAATTAGGAAGGAAGAAGAAGGAGGAGAGCGAAGTCCTCAAGCTGACAGGTGCAGGAAGGAAGGTCAAGAAGGAGCTGTCAAGTATAAAATGCTGGGCTGGGGATGTGGCTCAAGCGGTAGCGCGCTCGCCTGGCATGTGTGCGGCCCGGGTTCGATCCTTAGCACCACATACCAACAAAGATGTTGTGTCCGCCGAGCCGAGAACTAAAAAATAAGTATTAAAAATTCTCTCTCTCTCTCTCTCTCCTCTCTCTCTCTTTAAAAAAAAAAAAAAAAAAAAAGTATAAAATGCTGTCAGAAACTCAGGCTAAGACAGGTCTGCTGAATTGGGGGAATAGGCAGCTACAGTGGTACAAGAGACAGAAAGAGAGAAGGCCAGTGGCAAGAAATTAAACAGGGAAATATATCATCTAGAAACCCAAAGAAAACCCAAGAATGAAAGAAAATGTTTGCACATCAATATATTAGATAAGGGACTTATATCCAGACTACATAAAGAACACACAGCTAGGTGAGGTGGTGCATGCCCGTAATTCCAGTTACTCGGGAGGCCCATGCAGCAGGGGGATCACAAGTTCAAGGCCAGCCTCAGTAACATAGTGAGATCATGTCTTGAAAATAAAATATAAATAGGAATAGAGTGTTTGTCTTGCACGCACAAGGCCCTGGGTTTGATTCCCAGAACCACCTCCCAAAACAATAACAAAAAAAAAAAAAAGAAAGAAAAAGAAAGAAAGAAGAAAAAGAAGAAAGGATCCTGAATGATTCAGTTAGTGTATAGTATCTACCACTCTTGAGAAATTTAGCAACTTCTTGAGAACTTCAGTACAGCAGTTCAGAGATAAAAGCAGGCCTGAGAGAAGGTTTTTGAGATGAGGGAGATTTGAGTGTATCTTCAGGTGGAGGAGAGGAGACAGTAAAAAAATAACTTTGAGGGTTACAAAGTAGGAGACTTTCATACAAATAGCACACAGAGGGATAAATACCTAGTGGGTTTCTTCTGTAGTGAAAAGCGCCTTCTTCAGAATAAGTAGGCTGAAACACACTTCCCAGCTGATGTGCAAGGACTTGATTTATATCACTAAAGGATATCTGCTTGATATTCATGAGCTTTGCACAGATCTTATGGACAGCATCGTTCTCGTGAACAAGGAGGGCATCTGAAGATCGGTACAGGTGAGAAAGAGTCATAATGGAGTTGTAGTTCTGAACAATAACCTGAGGAGGAAAAGTTCAGAAACAAGACAGGAGAGAATAGTAGTTAAGAGCAGAGATTCAAAGGGTAACAAGTCTAGGTTCACATCCTGGCTCTGTGATTTTCTAGCTGCATGACTTCGGGTAAGTTTGTAATGTCCGTATGCCTCAGTTTTCTCATTTGAAAAATGGGGATAATAATTACACTAGCATCGGGGCTGGGGCTATAGCTCAGCGGTAGAGTGCTTGCTTAGCATATATGAGGCCCTGGGTTCAATCCTCAGCACCACATACAAATGAATAAATAGAATAAAGGTATTTAAAAAAAAAGATTTAGTTTTAAAAAAAATAAAAATAAAATAATTACACTAGCATCCTAGAGTTCTAAAGGTTAATGATATAATATAATGCAAGTAAAGCACTTAGAATCATGCCTTGTACACAGTAAGGGCATGACAAATATGAGCTACTACTATTATGCCTCCTTCCTACATCATTTCCTATAATGACTTATCTTACTACTAGGCTGATCACAGGAAATTGGCCTGCATAGAAAATTTCCTCCCAATGGAAAGAAATTATTTGAGCTAGGCATGGTGGCACATGCCTACAAATGCAGCAGTTCGGGAGGCTGAGGCAGGAGGATCTCGAGTTCAAAGCCAGCCTCAACAATTTAGCGAGGTGCTAAGCAACTCAGTGAGACCCTATCTCTAGTAAAATACAAAAAAAGGGCTGGGGATATAGTTCAGTAGTCAAGTACCCCTGAGTTCAATCACCGATATTAAAAATATATATATATTTGAAGGCTGGCAATGGCCCCAACATTCGATCAAGGCCCCTGCTTTATATACAATAGCCAGAGGGATTATCTCATAAAAGGGTTTCTCAGAGAAGAAGCATAGTCATCTTTGGAATTTTGTTCATTCAGTGCTTGGGACTGAACCCAGAGCCTTGTGCATGCTAAGCACATGCTCTACAACTAAGCTATATCCCCAGTCTTCATCTTTGGAAGTTACAAAAATAAGAAACACTCAATTGTATGGAAATGTTTAAGCAAAGTTACAGGAATTGTTCATAAAAGTACCATATTGTGTAATCACTCATGATGTTGTAACTTAATGTTTTCTTTTTTTTTTTTTAATATTTTTTCATCCTCAATGGACCTTTATTTTTTATCTATTTATATGTGGTGCTGAGAATTGAACCCAGTGCCTCACACATGGTAGGCAAGTGCTCTACCACTGAGCCACCACCTCAGTCCCTTAACATTTTCAAAGAAAGGGTGAGAGCCATCTTTTATTCACATTCATTTTAATTACAAAGAATAGAAAACATAAACTTTTCCATTAATTATGTTCATACCTCACCAGTTCCATAGGGCCATATAATCTGATTCATTCTTAAAGAGTTTGAGTACTGATCTTGTAAATCCTGTGTAATGAAGGCTCCCAGCCCAGATCCTGTGCCCCCAGCTATACTCATTATGATGAAAAAACCACTCAAGGAGTCACATTTCTCCACTTCCTTCTGGATTAGGTTCATGATAGATTCTTCATGCCTAGGTCCATGTACAGAGTAACTGCAATGGCAAAAGAAACAAAAACAAACACTTTTCAATTTAAACAGAGATGCAATGCAGAACAAAGAAGTCTTTTCAAAGCTTTGAAGTGAAGTAACTCTCATGAAAGGTTCAGGTCCCTGACGGATAAAATCTAAAATACACTAGTCAAACACATTTAACAGGTGATTATGACTATTAGCAGAGTGCATTTGCAGGATCCTGAAAGTTCTCATTTATAGGCCATTCATTGAGGTAGAGCTTTCAATTACCAGGTAGTTTATGGTAGAACATAATATTTTATATATATAACAACAGGCCTAATGCAATGGTTCTCAAACTCTGCTGTACATTGGGAGTTATGGGAGCTTTGAACATCTCAATACTTGAGCTTCACCCAAAACCAATGAAACCATAATCTCTAGAAGTGAGCCCTAGATAGCAGGATTTTCCCAAGACCCCCAGGAAATTCTAATGTAAACTGCAGTAAAGTTTGGAACTACTGCCTTGTAGTGTTCTCTAGAACTAATATTCCTGCCAAATAAGGATATTGCATTGACAAGTTAGTTTGCAGCAGGTCAGTGATATGGAAAACCCTGCTATAAAAGATCTTTGGTTTCATCCGTACTTGTATCTGAGGCACAGAGAGAATGAAAATTTCTTCTCAGTGAAGTCAAATTCTCAATTTTAAAACAACAATTTCAAGATTGTGTGCTCCACATATTAACTGTGCAGTTGTAACTACAGGGTCCATTAACTAAAACTGTAACCAAACTAAAAATCATGAGGAATTATTCTTACCCATATGCCCAGTTGTTTCCAGAACCTTGTTTTTGACAGAAGCATGCATGCTGACCATATTTCCATCGGCCAGACTGAGAAGCCTTTGTCAGAGTTTGATTGATAACCTTAGGTTCCATGTCAATAAGCACAGCCCGGGCAACTGGAACTAGACAGGGGAAAAAAATCAACAGAAAAAATATGTCTTATTTGGGTAACTTAAAAGCATAAACTTCTAGGTCATTGAGTTACATCTCCTGTCTTAGGTCCAGAGGGGGGGAAAAAAATCAGAGATTGGGAAAAGAAAGATTTGTCATAATGCACAGAAATACTGCAGCAACAGATAAATGTAGACATTAAGCCCAGAGTTCTGCTAAGCGGGATGAATCAGTGTGGGATAAAATGGTCACTTTAGCTGGGTGTGGTGGCACCTGCCTATAACCCCAGCTACTCATCGGGTTGAGGCAGGATTGCAGGTTTGAGGATAGACCAAGCAACTTAGCTAGACTCTGTTTCAAAATAAGAAAAATGAAAGGGCAAGGATATGGTTCAGTAATAGAGTGTTTGCCTAGAATGTGTGGCCCAGGGTTCTATCCCCAGTACTACATACACACAAAAAAAGCCACTTTGGTCAGGTCTGCAATACCTGTTGAATGCTTATAATGTGCTATCTACTGTACTGGGAATACAGAGATGTAGACAACATCAAACCAATCCTAGAAGGACTCCTGGGAGAGATGAAACACAACAACAACTTAATCAGAGTGCACCATATGACCCACAATGAATCCATGCCAAAGGAGCAGCATATTCAGAGGTACAAAATACCACTGGTGCAAGAGGCAGCTCAAAATTGTTAAAGCAGAGGATGGAGGAGGGGGCAGAAGTGAAGGACAGGAATGGAAAGCAGACAGGGATCAGATCTTGGAAATTCTTGTAGGCAATGCTACAAAGCTTGAATTTGATCTTTTAGACAATGATAAACCACCTAGCATTTTCAAGCAGGTGAGGAAAATTGGATGTCTTTTTTAATACAGCAGAGTGGAGGACAGATGAGATAGATAACAAAACTCTAGGCAAGGAAACCTAGAAGGAGTGTCTTGAAACACTCTAGGCAAGAGAGGAAAAGAGCCAGAACCAAGTCAATGACAGTGGAGATGAGAAGAGCAGAACAGCTTCCAGAGGTATATGGGAGGCAAAATTAGCAGATTTTGGTAAGTATAAGTTTTAAAGGCAAGATAATGAATGCCATGGGTATGGAGATGTTACATTTGAGGTTATCATGGGAGATGCAACAGGAGATGTCCACTAATCAATCTACAGCTGGAAAGAGAGGCTGGGGTAGAGGTTTGAGAGTCAGTGGTATAAAAAATATAGCACATTATAGTGACTGAAATCACTCAGAAATATACCTGTGGGAGAAGAGGAGATTCTGCGGGAAAAAAAAAAAACTACTTCATAAGAAGAGTTCAGAGACTAAGAAGGAGGAATTTCAAAAGGCAGTTTTGTAGTTAATGTTATCAAATCCAGTAGAGAAGTTAATTGAAGAAAAGAAAATCATGTAGCTGGGTGTGGTGGTGGTACAGGACTGTCAGTTCCAGCTACTCAGGAGGCTGATGCAGGAAGATTGCAAGGTTGAGGCCAGTGTCAGCCACTTAGCAAGACCCTGTCTCAAAAATAAGATTTTCATAGAATGTAGCTCAGTGGTGGAGTATTTGCCTAGAATATGCAAGGCCCTGGGTTCAATCTCCAGTACCAAAATAAATAAATTAATAAAAATTTTAAAAAGTAAGAAGGAAAAGTAAAACAGTAATGAGGAAGTCATTGGAAACTCTTCTTTGAGCAGCTTCAGTGTGTTGTGAGGCAGACGCAGGATTGCAGTTGGTTAAGCATAACTCTCCTTTGGAAATCTTGGTTGGAAATGCTAAGACATAAGAAGGAATAAGAAAGGTATAGTCAAGAGATAAGTTTTGTTTGGTTTCATTTTTTATTTTTTTATGGTGTTGGGGACTGAACTCAAGGCCTCACATATGTTAGGTAAACTATTCACCTCAGCACTACATTCCAATCCATTTGGGTGGTTTCAGATTCATAAAGTCTAAGCATACTTACCTGCTGGAGGAAAGATGTCCTGGAGAGACAAAGGTTGCTAACACAGAAACAAAGGGCCAAAATCATAGTTATTCCCTAGTGAAACTGAAAGGGACCAGGTACAAACACCTTAAATTAAGCAATTTAAGTCAGAGTAAAGAAAAGGACTATGGACTACACATACCTCCATTTTCTTCCTCCCTGAAGAATCTTTCTTGGCAAGATGCTTGATATGCCTCATTTTCTTTTTTAGAACAGAGTCCTTGGAAATCATGTGAGTCACTAAATAAAGTATCAAACACTTCAAAACCAATCTGGTTGCCACACTGACCAAGCTGCACTGTTACTATTGACATGCTGAGCCATGAACTAGTCCTGTTTCTTCAAAAAAAGTGAGCATCCTGTAACAGAAAAAACACAGAATCACTACATTATTAATAAGAAAAAGTGAGATGCCATGTGCATTAACTGTAAATCAATAAAAAGTAATTTTAAAAAATGCCTATATGTATATGGTATTATATGTGAAACAAAATAGGTCTATTGTCTAAAGAGCCAGTCATTCAGGAAAGTTCTTCTCTTCTCTACTTAGTTTTAGGATTTGGGATTTTCTGTTCCCAAATGCATTCACACACAGCTTAATGGTTTCAAAAATCTGATTTGTACTCACTTTTTTTCCTATGTATGCATTTGAAATAAAACAAAGCAAACAAATCAGAAGAAATGCGAATTGAAGGAATTAGTAACAAACACTTCACAACACAGGGACACTAGAAGTTGGCTCAACAATCGTAGTTCAATTAACGTTAATTTTCTCTGGTAAAATAAAAACTTAATCTCTTTCCACCAACACCCTTCTGGCCTGGAAACTATAATTAACACTTTAAAGAAAGTCTTTGTGTTTAGCTCAAGTAATACAGCAAAAATGGAATTTGGAGAAAGAAGATCATACGATATAGTAAAGATCATTTAGAAATTGAACACAGGGGCTCTCTAACCACCTAGCTACATCCCCACCCCTTTTTATTTTTTGAAATTTCGATATATTGCCAAAGGTCGGTCTTAAATTTTTGATCCTTCTGCCTCCGCCTCCCCAATAGCTGGATTAGAGAGTGCAACATCGAGCCCAGCTATATCTTCATTATTTTTAATGAAGACAATTTTGGTAAAGACTAACACCAAGTCCATTCAACACTGGAAATGAGCGGGGGCTGGGAGGGAGGAGTTCTGAGCCAGCTCTTGTACCCATAATTTCAAATCTCCAGAGTAAGTAATATTATTCTCATTTTACCGATAAGAAAAACTGGTGCTCTGAAATGTTGTGTGACTTTCTCAAGGCCACCAAACTAGTAAGTGGCAAAGCCAAGACTCTTTTCCCACCGGCGGAGCTCCGGGCTACCGCCACTCACTGACAGCCCTCCACTCCGCCGCGGTTTCCGTCGAGTTCAAACTTCAGAGGATCAACCCTCTCACTATGCGCATGCTCCTTTCCGGAACTAAAAAGCCACAGAGAACGAAAGCATATGTTTCTTAAACGAAGAATTTTGCTGTACTCCCCGCCGTTTCTATTCAGAAAGGTTAATTACGCATGTTCGATTTCAATTTATCAACTTCAGATATGTTACGCATGCTCATTGTCCATCAAATTCTTTGGCTGACAATGCGCATGCTTTAGTCTCCCAGCGAGGCTTCGGGTGGAGTTTTGCGCATGTTTCTGCCAGTACCTAGATCCTGGAGGTAGCTCTACGCATGTTCACTGCCCACAGTTTGACTTCATGGAACTCTATGCGCATGCTCTAGCGCTGAACTTGAAGAGCCAGTCTGGGGCCTAGGCGCAGACGCACTAAGCCTAAGCAGCCGGTGATGGCGGCAGCGGCGGCTGTGGCTGCGGCGGGTCCGGGCCCATGAGGCGACGACGGAGGCGGGACGGCTTTTACCCAGCGCCTGACTTCCGAGACAGGGAAGCTGAGGACATGGCAGGAGTGTTTGACATAGACCTGGACCAGCCAGAGGACGCAGGCTCTGAGGATGAGCTGGAGGAGGGGGTGAGGCCCGGGGTCCCGGGGGGCCCGAGGTGACAGGGCCAGGGCGGCGGCGCGGGCCCAGGAAGCCTGGCGTGTCCTAGAGCACGGAGACCCTGGGGGGCGCGAGTAGTCTCCTGGACTAGCTGAGGCGCCGCGCGGCCGCGCTGGGGACCTGGCGGGGAGGACCTGGCCCTAGGTATGAGGCCTCTGCGGGGCTCGCAGGTGCAGGTCGCGCCCTTATCCCTAGATCAGCGGAGCCCCCAGCAATCTGTCTGTAGAGAGGTGGAGAAAAGGGCGCGTGGTCGATTTCTGGAGCTGTTGAACTTGAGTGTGGCGGGGCACGGGTGGTGTGAGCGTGTGTTTGGGGGATGGGGGTGCTAAATGTCCCGTAAGTGCAGGTGAAGCGCGGAAGGGTTTCCCTCGGAGTGTAAGATTTCAAGTATTAAATCTTCAGACCTCCCACAACCACCTCTCTTCTCGGCCTGTCGCTTCTCTCCTAGGAAGCGCTCAGCTGTTAGAAGTGACAGCTGAAAACTTCTGTCGGGAGTAGCACTGCCGCTGCTGTTACAGCCACCAGGAGTTTTATTTCGGGAGCAAGGGGGCTCTGCTGCATCTTCCAGGGTTTGTTTGTTTGCCTTTTTTTTAAAAAACCCCCTTCCGTGTGACTTTTTTTTTTTAAGTATCTATAATGACACACGGCATTTGTAACTTAATTTCCTCCAAGTTGAAGATGTCTGTATTTTTTTTTCAGAATAATTTATGTAATTTTGGGGTGGGAAAAAACCAGTGTTGACAGCTGTGATTTGGCTTGCCAAAAATAAATTGCTTGAATTGAGACTTGTGAATAGTGGTGTGAGGACTTTCCTTGCTGTAATTTAGGGTGCTAAATTTAGAGTTGTTTTTCCTAATGCACGTCTCAATTTTACCTTTGCTGTGATACTATTGGTTATTCTTTATGAAATATAAATTTTTCTAAGATACTTATGGGAAAAAAACCAAATTGCACCTGCAGTGCAGAAATGATGTAGTTTATTACTGATTATGGACAAACGGTCTTCAAAGTTAACCTCATGGCAATTTAGGTCCTAAATACCATTGTGTATATGTAACTTATGACTGCTGTCAGATGTTTGCTGTAACCGCATAAGGGGCTTCCCTTCTCTTTTCTCACCCCCAATTTTCCTCCTCTGGCAAGTAAATTGTGTCCTACTGCTGACCAAAGATTGAGATGCTATATGTAAAGAACTTTGAACACTTCATGAAACTAAGTGGGCTAAAATAATACTGTTCTTTTCATAATCAAATGAGTTTCAATCGAAGTCACACAGTTTAGAAGGTGGGTATTGAGAAATTTTTTTTAAACTGATATATTTTTGTATGGAATTCTAGTTAGCCTCTTAACTGGACATAGTGAACACTAAATACAGTTTGAAACAAATACAAGATTACTTTCTATGTTTAATATACTCTGTTGTACTGGTTCCATATGGAAGTGGCTGTGGAGTAGGGCAGGGGAGAAAACTAGATAGAATGTGTTACGTCTTTGTTAGTTGAACCGATTTTCCAGACTACAGGTTTATCCTCCTTTGAAAGTACACTATTGTGTACGGGGATTTTGTTTTTCTTCTCACATTCTAAATGTGTTACAGGTTAGCTTTACTCCTGGGCTTTTGTTTTGATGAGCATAGCAAAATTCTGATAGGATGTGGTGGAGGGGGACTATAAGATTCTGATAGGTTATGGTAGAGGGGACCAGAAAAAATGGAAAAGCCAAGAAATGTGGCCATTACTTTAAGAAGAGGAAGTTTCAAAAAAGAGCAAAGGTAATTAAGAGCAAAAGATTTTGAGAGAGAGCCTTCAGTAAAATATCTTATTTAGCAGTGCTGTTTATTTATTTTAATATATGACAGCAGAAAGCATTGCAGTTCTTTTTTTTTTAAGTATTCATTTTTTAGTTGTAGTTGGACTCATTACCTTTATTTTATTTATTTATTTTTACGTGGTGCCAAGGATCAAACCCAGGGCCTCGCATGTGCAAGGCAAGTGCTCGACCACTGAGCCAGAACCCCAGTCCCCATTGCACTTCTTATTATACATATAGAGCACAATTTTTCATTTCTCTGGTTGTATGCATAGTATATTCACACCAATTTGTGTCTTCATACCTGTACTTTGGATAATAATGATCATCACATTTCACCATGATTAATAACCCCATGCCCCCTCTCTTCCCCTCCAACCCCTCTGCCCTATCTAGAGTTAGCTTGTTCCTCCATGCTCCCACTCCCTATCCCACTATGAATCAGCTTCCATATATCAAAGAAAACATTCGGCATTTAGTTTTTTGGGATTGGCTAACTTCTTAGCAGTGCTTTTGGAGTTGAAAGTGTTTCTTTTGAGTGTTATTCTTTTTTTTTTTTTTGGAGACAGGGTCTCACTAAGTTGCTTGGTAAATTGCTAAGGCTATTTCGAACTTGCAGTCCTCTTGCCTCAGTTTCTTGAGTTGCTGGGATTACAGGCATGTACCACCACCCCTCACTAAGAGTTTGTTTTGCTTAAGGGGCTACTCAAGATGGACAAGGGAAGACAGTTGGAGTGGGATTGGGTTGGTAACCCAAAGAAATTCAGTGGCATACAGAGTACTCTGATATTTAAAATGAGAGAGTTTTTTTTTTTTTTTAACCTGAAATATGGGTAGAGTTTAGATTCTTAGAAAATCTTCAAATGTTTCCTTTTGGTTTATTATGCAGACCTTTTAACCTTGGTATCAGAGTAGCCTCACTTCTTCATTTTATAGTAAGGAAATGGAGGCATAGGCTAGAGAGATGATTGCCTACAATCATATAGTGGTGTATTCTCACTCCATTCAGCAAATTTCGTTGCACATATTTTTCATTGCATTTATTTGTCTTGTTATATTTTGCCTCTTTGTGGTATGTCAAAAGTGAATTTTGGCCATACTCACTGATAATGTGACCTCAAGTAAGTTGTCTAATCTTTGACACCTTTCTGTAAAATCAGGGTTCGTGAAAAAAAAAAAAGTTAAATATTCTCAAAATATCCTGGTATATTAAAATGTTAACTGGGCTGGGGATGTGGCTCAAGCGGTAGCACGCTCGCCTGGAATGCGTGCGGCCCGGGTTCGATCCTCAGCACCACATACCAACAAAGATGTTGTGTCCGCCGAGAACTAAAAAATAAACATTAAAAATTCTCTCTCTCTCTCTCTCTCTCTCTCCTCTCTCACTCTCTCTTAAAAAAAAAAAAGTTAGCTGATTCATGGCAGTACTGACAGGTACTACTCATTTCTTTGGCAATGAACCAATCATTCAAGTTTACCCTCATTCATACCTAGAAACTTAATTATAAATGCAGTTATAGTATTTTTAGAACTGTAACATCAGGGGTTTTTTTTCTTTTAATCATTGATCCTATATGCCTTTTTAGATATGTTACACTGAGTGAATCTGTAAGTATAGATTTTTACATGCTTAATTAAATTTTCAGAGACTAAATGATGAAGAGATTGAATTGATGCATTTATGGATAAAGTAGAAGAATGTCTGTCATCTAATTAAACACAAAACAAACTCTGATTGAACACCCAGAGGAATGTAATAGTGTATATTAAAACCAATGGTTTAGAGTTTTGATGGGGGATTATTTTGTGTGTGATGCTGAGCATCGAACCTAGGGCCTTGTGCAAGCAAGGCAAGCACTCTACCAACTGAGCCATATCCCCAGCCCTTTTTTTTTCTTTCTTCTTTTTTTTTGGTACCAGGGATTATAATAATCATAGAGGCTTACTATACAAGTTTCAGATTGGGATATCATATTTTTATTGAGTAGAATGTTTAATATTTTTGAAAAACTAAGTACTAGGTAGTATATACTTAAATATTCATGATTTTGAAAATTATAGAAAAAAATCTCATCAGTAATTATCTTGTCTTGTAATACGTAATTAACATAAAGCAGCAACTGAGATTTTGAGCAAGGTTTATCCCTTTCTCCCAGTTCATCTGGATTACTGAATCTCATAAAGGAAGTATATGTGTACATTCAGACAAGTGGATAATTGATTTCCTAAAAATCTTTTGTAGAGTGTGTGTGCCTGTATGCACTGGTTATTAAACCCCTGCTTTGCCCCTGCTAGGCCAAGTGCTTAACTACTGAGCTATATCCCAACCATGGATAATTGATTTAACAAATATCTGGACTAAGGATAATTTATTTAAACTTTTATAAAATCTACTCTCTTTCGTTGGGTATAGGCATATTAATTTGAATTTGTATACGTTTTTAATTTAAAACTTTGTAAATAGTCATTCTGGTGGGCTAGTTTGAAACAGTGTATCTTGTATAGTACCTTTTTTGTCAATCATAGTGGCACACAGAAAAAGTATTGGATGAATCATAAAGCTTAAGAGAGCAGAAAAATTCTGAATAGTTTCTTGTGAAAGAAGTCTTTAGTGTGTATTATATAGTGTTAGCTTCGTTGTTCTGGTGTGAGACTTTTCTAAAGGAGGAGCAGAAAGAATCACACCTTTTGTGCCTTTGCCCTAGAAGGTAACGGGTAGAAAGTTATAGGCAAAGATGCAGGTGGTGTTACAGGCCTGGCCAGCTCGGGAAATGAAACATAGCCAAAG